CTCCTTCAGCTAATTGGAACAAATAACCAAACGTGGATTTTCTAGTGTCAATACATCCAGCAAAATCTGAATCCGAGTATCCAACAACTTCCAAATGCTTGGATCTCCTATACATGAGCATGTAATCCTTCGTTCCTTTTAGGTACCTCAAAACTTTCTTTGCAGCTTTCCAATGATCAATTCCTGGGTTACTTTGATATCTTCCTAGCATTCCGACCGCAAAACTAATATCCAGTCTTGTGCAAGTCTGGGCATACATCAGACTACCAACAATTGAAGAGTAAGGAATTGATTCCATTTCCTTTCGTTCTACATCATTCTTAGGGCATTGCATGAGACTAAATTTGTCCCCTTTTTGAATTGGAACAATTCCTGCTGAACAATTGTTCATATTAAATCTCTCTAGAACTCTTTCGATATAGCCTTTCTGAGACAATCCCAATAATCCTTGTGATCTATCACGGAATATTTCTATTCCTATCACATAGGATGCCTCACCCATATCTTTCATTTCAAAATTCTTAGAGAGAAAATCTTTAGTCTCACGCAATATGCCTAAATCATTAGCAGCAAGTAGAATATCATCAACATATAGGACTAAAAATATAAACTTGCTCCCACTGATCTTTTGGTATATACATCGATCAACGGTATTTTCCACAAATCCAAAAGATGTTATGGTATCATTAAACTTTATATACCATTGTCTTGAGGCTTGTTTAAGTCCATATATTGACTTCTTCAGTTTACACACCATTTGACCTTTTCCTTTAGTTTCGAAACCCTCTGGTTGGTCCATATAAACTTCCTCCTCGAGGTCTCCATTAAGAAAGGCAGTTTTCACATCCATTTGGTGTAACTCTAAATCATAATGAGCCACCAAAGCCATAATAATTCTTAACGAGTCTTTCTTTGAGACCGGCGAAAAGGTCTCTTTATAATCAATGCCTCCTTTCTGAGTATAACCCTTGGCAACAAGTCTGGCTTTGTATCTCTCAATATTGCCATTTGAATCGCGTTTGGTATTAAAGACCCATTTATACCCGATTCTTTTAGAACTTCTTGGCAATTCAACAAGATCCCAGACTTTATTGTATTCCATGGATTTTAACTCTTCCTTCATGGCATCAATCCATTTGTCAGACTCATTACTTTCTATGGCTTGTGAAAATGAAACCGGATCCTTATTAAGACCAATGTCAAAATCTGACTCTTGCAAATAAACCACGTAATCATCCGAAATAGCTGATTTTCTAACTCTTTGAGATTTTCTTAATGGCATTTCTTGTGATTCATTTATGTCAGATATTTGTGAGTTAGTTTCTTCATGAAGTGTTTCATCCAAATGTTGCTCTGTATTGTCAAAGTGTTCTTCAACAACTGGAACAATATTTGGTATTTGTGTGGAAGTAGGCACATTTCTGGGTAATAGAATATTGACCCTCACCTCTTTAATTTCTACACTTTTCTTTTCAACACTCCCACTAACTTCACCATTTTCAATGAATCTTGCATTACCGGTTTCAACAATTCTCGAACTATGGTTTGGACAGTAAAACACATACCCTTTAGATTTTCTGGGTAACCAATAAAGTAACCACTTACTGTTGGAGAATCTAATTTCTTTTCTTGTGGATTATAAACTTTAGCTTCCGCTGGGAAACCCCAAACATGCAGGTGCCTTAAACTAGGTTTCCTTCCTGTCCACAGTTCAAAAGGGGTCTTTGGAACTGCCTTACTAGGAACCCTATTTAATAAATATACAGCGGTTTTAAGAGCATACATCCAGAATGATTTGGGTAATGAGGAATTACTTATCATGCTCCTAACCATATCCATAAGTGTTCGATTGCGCCTTTCTGCAACACCATTTTGTTGAGGTGTTCCTGGCATAGTATACTGGGCATATATGCCACGTTCCTCGAGGAACTTTGCAAATGGACCTGGACATTGTCCCGATTCATTATATTTTCCATAATATTAACCACCTCTATCTGACCTAATGATATTCACCTTTTTATGTAATTGCCTTTCAACCTCATTAACAAACACTTTGAGAGCATCTGTTGCTTGAGATTTTTCTTTCAGCAAATAGATGTATCCATAACGTGAAAAATCATCGATAAAAGTGATAAAATATTTTTCTCCACCAAAAGATGGAACATCAAAAGGTCCATAAATATCGGTGTGTATAATTTCAAGAAGTTGGGTGCTTCTTGTGGCACCTTTCTTACTATGCTTGGTTTGCTTTCCATTAATGCAATCCAAACATATAGTAAGATCAGTAAAATTTAGATTCGGAAGAATCTCATTTTTTACTAATCTTTCTAACCTTTCTTTGGATATATGACCCAAACGTCTATGCCACAAGTAAGTATAACTTTCATCTAGTGAACTACGTTTAATTCCAACATTATGTTGAACAGTAAGAAGGGATTCAGAAAAAGCAATATTGAGTTTCAATTTATATAAACCATCACTGAGAAAGCCAGAACCATAAAAAATAGAATTCTTATATAAATTGAAACATCCATTTCCAAACTTTAAATCAAATCTAGAAACATCAAGTCTTGAAAGAGAAATCCCTATGTACTTTAAGTCCTTTACCAGCTCCTTGACCCATGAGGTTAATTGAATGATTCCCTTGTTTCTTAAGTCTTGACTCCTCCTAGAAACTGAAGGTACATAAAGAGTCTGTAATAGATCAAGGTGACGTCCAGTCTCCATGATCAAACGATAAGTCCCTATGCCTTCAACTGGAGCCTTCATACGATTTCCCATGAACAAGAAATTCTTATTTGGATTTGTAGTTTGGATCGTAAGGAATCCCTGCAACGTAGTAGATACATTAGCAGTTGCACCAGAATCAAGCCAGCAAGTATTTTTAGGAACTTCTACTAAATTTAATTCGAAACATACAAAAGCACTAATTGTACCTTTCTTTTTGAACCAAGCTTTACGTTTCAGACAATCTTTCTGATAGTGTCCTTCCTTGTTACAGAAACGACACGTATCTGCCTTATGTTCCTTGTTAGCATCCTGTTGAGCTTTAGCAGGTGCTTTCTTCTTCTTGAACTTGTTGGCCTTCACTTTAAGTCCTTTACCAGCTCCTTGACCCATGAGGTTAATTGAATGATTCCCTTGTTTCTTAAGTCTTGACTCCTCCTGAGTAAGCATACTGGACAATTCACTAACATTCCACTTATCCTTAATAGTGTTATAGTTAATTTGAAAAGGTCCATACTCAGGAGGTAACGAGTTCAGAATAAACTGAACCAAGAAGGAGTCATCCACTTTCATCCCCAAGGTCTGAAGTCTTGCTGCAATGTTAGTCATCTCGATGATATGGTTTTGCATACTACGCGACCCATCAAACTTCATGGTCGTGAGTTCAGCCATTAGTGTACCAGCGAGAGACTTATCTGCAGAACGAAAACGTTCTTCCACAAACTTCAGGTATTCCCTGGCACTTTCTGTTTGTGGAATAGTACTCTTAATGTTGTTGGCAATATTCATTCGCATAAACATAAGGCTTAGCCTGTTAGAGCGTTCCCATGCTTTATGGAAAGACTTCTCATCCGCACTGCTCGAATCAGTAATGGCAGCGGGCTTATCATTCAGCAGAGCCAAGTCAAGATCCATCACACCTAAGTGGAACTGGACTTGTTCACGCCATTCAGAGAAGTTCAATCCATTGAACACAGTAACAGACGAAGCAAGCGAATGAAAAGGAATAGCTGCAAAATAGATAATACATGTTCACAAATCAATATGGATTCAACAAAATAGTTAAAGCATATCATAATTCTCCTTTGGGTAGATACTACGACATACTATCTTAATTTAAGTGCCATTTAGTCTTTAATAGGTATTTAAATAATTTTTTAATTTTTTTATTTTTTACCAAATATATATGCCATCTTTGGACAAACAATATATATTTGACTAAGAATATTAATTTTACCTCATCATATTCACTATTCATAGAATAATTGATTCACCTTTGGGTAAATCTTTAAGTTCTAGCAATAGTGAAAATTAATTTATCCACTATTTTTAAATTATAGGCATTTCATTAATTTCATGGATAAACTATATTTTATGTATGCATATTTTTCATAAACAAACTAGTTTGGCCACTTTGGTGACTAACAAACTATATAATATAAGTGCACACACAAATTAGAGATCATAAGATTTTATGCATGTGAATACTTTAAACAATTTAGTTTGATCACTTTGATGACTAACAAACTATATACACTTTAATCACAAAATAAATACTTCATTACTGTGTGCTAGTTTATTTAGGATGATGTCAATTAACATTAGCTTTGAAAAGTTGGATGAGGACTTAATCGATAAATTTGAAAGATGGGTCTCATTTTGATTTCTAACCAATAATGTCTTACTATATTTTGCATGCTCACTTCTTACCTTCTTATTGGCTAGAATTCATGCAAGTGTTATTTTGGGTTTATCACCAACCTTTGCAAAATTAGGTATAGCACAATAAAAGTCAAGATCAATCAATTTGCATGAACACTTTTTTTCCAACTTTTGGTCCGGAGCAATAGACATCGAAACATAATTAAAGACCCAAAATGTGGTCAACTAGTATGAGGATACAATGAACCGTTTCAACCAAAAATTTCGACATGCAAACAACCTTCTACCTTTATATTGGCTAGAATTTATGCAAGCTTTGTATTTATTACCAACCTCTGCAAAATTAGGTAAAACACAAGAAGAAGAAAGATCATTCAACCTGATAGCTATAAAAGGATGTCTCTATGGCAAGGCATTCAATACAATCCAACAAGAAAGAATCACTCGTTAAAGAAATCACAAGGAAATCCAAAATGACAACAAACAATGTTATGTTTGCGTCCCTTTTATTTTTTACATTGTTTTCTGTAGCCTTCCTTCCCCAATCTCTAGCAATGACCATCCAAGCTAAGCTCGAACGATTTAAACCGAAACAAAATTTCACTGGCGAAATGGCACCCAATGACTTGCGAAGTCCCCTTTCGCGTCGACCAGATCATGGTTTCGTTGCAAATATATCTATTGGTGAGCCTGCCGTCTACCAGCTTGTACTAATAGACACGGGTAGCAACATATTCTGGATTCAATGCTACCCATGCCAAAAATGTGGAGATCAAAACCAAATTCCTCATTACGATGTTGACAAATCATCAACATATTCCAAAGTTTCTTGCGACTCTTGGATGTGTCGCGAGTTCGATGGGCAATGTAATGAATGGCTTGAGTGCATATACATATCGGCATATATAGATTACACTTGGTCTAGAGGAATTGTTAGTGATGACACTCTTCATTTCATTACCTCCGATAACGAGGTGGAGAGTGTTCCTAATGTAGCTTTTGGGTGCGGAACATATAATTATGGAGATGAATTCGGGTACGAGTACAGTGGGATACTTGGTTTAGGGCCAAGTAAAGCATCGGTAATGACACAAATCGGATACCAATTTTCCTATTGTATTGGGCATATCAAGGACATTAATGATTCATACAGTCACCTCATCATAGGTGACGAGGCGAGGTTAGAGGGGGATTCAACACCCTTGGAAATCTTTAATAGCTCATATTATGCTATGTTGGATGGGATTCGCATGGGAGAAAAACTTATAGCAGACAAAAAGGTGTTTTCTTCTCAACCTAAGGACGGAGGAGGAGTTTTATTTGACACGGGAAGTCCAGTAACCTATTTGCATAAAGAAGCTTTAGAGCTATTAAGTGCGGAGATAAAAAGTTATATGAAAGCTGGAAACATTCAACAGGTTCCGGAAATTAAAACCGGCGGCCTGTTATGCTTTGAGGGCCGTGTCTCGGAAGATTTAGAAAACTTTACCGAGGTCATATTTCACTTTAGTGGAGGTGCCGATTTAGCTGTGGGACCAGATGCTCTATTTGACCAATCTCGCCAAAGGGTTTTTTGCATGACTATTTTGCCAACCTCGGCAAATATGTCTATTCTAGATCATGAAGCAGAAAATCTCACAATTATAGGCATATCAGCAATGCAAGACTATAATTTCGGGTTTGACATAAAGGAAAAACTTGTGTACATAGAGGATGTTGACTGTAAGACGCTATCAGATTATGACTGAAAATTTTAATGCTATTCTGGTTTGGATCAATGCATAATCTTTTCTAATGTTATTCTGCCAGACTTTTTAACAACATGTGTTGTCTGGATTACTCTTTTTAATTTGTTGCTTAATTAAATTATTTCATAATATTTGTGGAGAATCAGAAAGTTAAAGAATCACATTGGTGATCCCTTTTTCTATTCCATTGTGAGATAATGCAATTCCAGAAAACTAATCATATTCCCCCAAAAAATGGTAGTTTGGTGGACAATATTATATGTATACAGATTGTCTACACAACAATTCCCCTAATTCGATAACCAAGTCAATTCAAAACTTCTATCGAGAAATAAAAAAATTTCGCTCATACTAAGAAAATAAATAAAACACGGACATATAATAATTATCATGCAATATTCTTATTATAAAACACCTATATATATAAAATCAACGATAGTAAGGAATATGTAATGAATAATTCGCCGAATGGAGAGGAATTTCGAACTGCCAGCCCTTGATCCTCCAGATTGCTCTTATCAGCGATCTATGACTTGCTTCTGCTCGATCTATAATATGTGAACAATGTACAAAGGCCTCAGGACGAAATCCAATCCGCGCACATCGTCGTTTGATCCCTTCATCAACTTTTTCATAATCATCATATTCAGAAAAGGAACAACAAACTGCAACAATAGATATGGTGATCAGGAGGAGACAGAGGATGACATGCTTATAATTTCTAATTCCCATCATAATTTTATCGAGTGAGAGAAGACAAGAAACCAAAACCACTGGTTTGTTTATATATATATATATAGGATTTAAAGTAGAATACAAATGACAATACAAACTCCTTTTCTCTTTTGAAATAGGAGGAGTATTCATTAGGAATTTGAAGTCATCTAGGATTTTGCTACTTCAATTTTCAATTTTTAAATAACCGCAACCCTTATCCTAAGAAACGATTATGTTGCCGTTATTTAATTCTTATCTTATATAATTAGGGTTAAAAAATCAGAGTCGAAAAAAACCATTTTTTGATCATGTGATCGTTGTATGTCCATACGAGAATAACAAAAAAAAAAAAAAAAAAAAAAAAA